GAATTTATTTAACAAAGGGAGCTTAACACCTTTTCAACGGGATTTTTTGCTAAAAAAGTTTATTTTTGAAAATGTGGTTATTTTTATTTGATTTTTTTCTTTGATTTTCAGTTTATTTTCTTTGATTTTTGGACACGTTAAACTTTCATCCTTGCGACTGTTTTTACAAAAAGAATTTTGGAAAAATGATAATATTTTGTATTTAAAACAAATTTTAAATGAAGCTTCCGAGTACACTTCTCACATCTCACATCTTTAAAAATGGGATTTTGGCAACAATTTTCCTGTCTTATTGTTGTTGATAGATTTTTGATGAAATCGCATCATTTTGAATAGTTTCATTCTTTTAGAAATATGGATTTGGCAACAATTTTTCATCGTATTTCTTATGTCACTGTTTTTAAGAGATTGGCATATTTCATTTTCCTTTATATATATATATAATACATTTTTATTGATTTTTTTGATAAAGTTATTCTGCAGAGTAAAATTCTGCGCGGAATTTTATGTTTTTTGAGTTGCTTTCATGTTATTTTTTGCTTATTTCATTGTTTGTAAGATATTGAAAAGTTTTGCATGAGTTTTTTTTCTTCAACGGAAAGTTGGTTAATTTTTTATTAGGATAATAAATATTTGTATTAAGGGATATAGCTTATTTCATTGTAATTTTTTTCTCTTGAAAATATAAGATAAAATATCATTAATTATACTTTGCTTTTCAGAATTTTTTTTTAGTCCAAAGGGATTTGAATCCCGAAGGACTATTAGTTTCGTTTTGGCATTTTGCGTCAGACGGATAAATGTAGGTTCACTTTTCAAACTGTTGCCATAAAATGTTAGAGTCCTGCATATATTTGAAAGAAATTAAATAATGAAGAATCTGCATGAACGTATGTATGTTTCTTGCACTATTGTCATAAAAAAACGGTACCTAGAGCCATCCAGTTTTGAATAACGTACGTTCCTCCACCCGAATATGCGCATCTGGAAGATCCAAAATTTGAAATTTGAATTTGTTTTATTATCTATTTTCATATTTTGTAAAAGTGTTGACGAATTTTTGATTAACAAACTCAATGGACTTCCAAAGCGAGCAATGGCAACACTGTACAGGAAAAAATATTTTTATCTCCAGCGCGCGAGTCTGTTCTGTATCGGAAATTCTAAAGATATGCTCATTTTAAATTATTTTGCGATATTTGCTGCTGAAATGATCTTATGTTTAAGAGCTAAGGAATGTGATATTTAATAAAGAAAGTAACACACAAAATGTTAAAAAACCCCCCTTTGGACGTAATTTAAAACTGAAACATTTCAGATTTTATTATTAGTCCAAAGGGGCTTTGTCCCTGAAGGACTATTTTTTTTTTTTTTTTTTGTATTCTTTTATGTTATTTATTGCTCATTTCACTGTTTTTAAGATTCTGAAAAGTTCTGAGTGATTTTTTAGGAAACAAAGTTCTTAACCGCCTTTATACCATTTGAGTTCTTAAGATGTTGCAAAGGGAAGTTGGTTAATTTATTTATTAGGATAATTAATATTTGTATTAAGGGATATTGCTTATTTCGTTGTAATTTTGTTATACGTAATAACGTTTTTTATGAAGTTGTTCTGCGGAGTAAAATTCTACGCAGTTTTTAAATTTAACGTTTGGTGTTCCCTTCAGCCAATTTAAAGTACAATTTAAAAGTTAGATGTAGGCATTTCAGTACATTTAAAAGCCAGACGAGGGCTGGCAGCGAAGCTGCTAGTATTAAAATAAATAGAATAGACTACAGAAATCATCAAAACGGAGTCATTTGAAATTATTATGTTCTTTAGACATTGCCTAATATTTTCAGAATTCTAAGCATTTCTCTTCCACCTAGAAACCAATTAGAGGGATACATTGATTCTTAATATGTTGTAGCACATAGGAATAATAAACCATAGAATATATAAAAATTGTTACGTAATCCGAAGGCCATTTTAAATAAAAATAAATGTTTCAGTTATTAGAATTAGCCTTTTCTTTAAGAGAAATTTTACTTTTTAAATATTATAATATTTGTACTTATGTAACTAATATGATGCTATAAACAGATTATTGCTTCAATCATTTCGAAAAAGATGTAAAAGAGTAAACTTTGGTTTTGAAGTACTGTTTTTTGTTATTCAGGTAAATATTATAGTCGATTTTCAAAAAATGTGGCTCTACCTTTATAACCTTAAGATATCGATCTCGAAAACGTTTAGAAGAAAATAAAGAGGAAAATAAAGTTTTACATGGTCAAAAATAATTTACAATCTAATGAACAGAGCATTCTTATACTTGATTAGAGTAAAATAATTCTAGAACTTTATGTGTGAAAAACCCTAAGACAAACCTTTAAATAAGTGTAAAGGGTAATATTACAAACGCTAATAATTAATATCATTTGAAATTAAATCATTAATTACCAAAATTTATAAGTTTGTATTTTTCAGTTTCTAAATAACTGTGTCCTCCAAATTCTTAAATCTAAGCTTTCATTATGCATGGAAACATGCTTAAAATTCGTTAAATTTAATCTTTAATATCTGAAGGAATTTGATCTCAATGAAGTAGTTACGAAATCTAATTTAGAATTCTTATGGTATTTTCAATGGATATTTCACTAATTTTCTTTATTTACAGACTTCACAGAAAAACATGCTTCACTTTTTTAAAATTCTCCAACTGACAATATTGAGGCTCATTTTCTAAAATTATGCACAATGTTTGAAGAAACTGGATAATTAGAATTTCGTATCTATGTTCAAAATTTGAGAACGCACAATATGTGACTGGCGCAGTATAACCTCTTTGGTTGTCTGCTAGAAAATTGAAAAACTTACCCGCCAATCTAAATTTAAGGAAATAAAGCAGTAAACCAGAATTTCTTATATAAACTCTCTCATACAAACGGAAGTTTGAAGCGGAAACTAATTGATAGTTTTAATTACATATTATAAAGATTGTTTGCAAGTCAATTAATGAAAAATGTACTTCGAATAATTAATATAATCAAATAATATTTAGTCCTTTTTTTGAAAATGGAAATAGTTGTCTTACGAATATTAATTTAATTTTTTTTTTAATTCTGAAAGGTTTCAGATTTTAAATTACGTTCAAAGAGGCGTTTTTTTAACGTTTTGTGTGTTACCTTTATTTATTAAATATCATGTTCTACGTTCTCAAACTACAAAATTCATCTCAACAGTAATATTGCAAATTAATTTTAAAATGAGCATATCTTTAGAATTTACGATACACAGTCTGACGTGCTGGAAATAAAAATGTTTTTTTTTTCGTACAGAGTTGCCATCGCTCGCTTAAAAATTGTTTAGTTTGTAGGATTTATATTTATTTTAACTAACATTTATTTTATGTTTAAACTAATCTTTCCTGTCAAGCCTTTCTTTCCCCTGGAACTACCAATGCCAGAGTATGTAAATTTTAGTAGAACGCGCAAGGATTCAAATTATCAGCGGAAGTATTCTGAGTTAAATAGAAAGGAAACGAGTTCGAAGTGTGCTTTCTTACTTCACGAGCGCGGAGGTAGTTAGTTAGAAATTGAAGAACCACGCGTTTCAGCTTGTGTGCTTGCTTCGGCAAATTGTTAATCTTTCAACGTAATATTCAGAGTTTGCTGAATTATCAGCGGTATTGTAAAACGCGGTGAGGTAAGTTACGTTTAGAGAGTCTCGTAGTTAGTTACTTGTTAGTATCTCTTTTTAGTTTCTTATTTTTATTTTACCGCCGGGTCGGCGTAGTTTGTGAGCGTCAAGAGCACGTAATTGTAATTTTTAAAGTTGAATAAAAAGGGACTTAAACCCTTCTCAAGACTCTGCCTAATTTCCAGTTTTCTGCGGTCACCATTTTGTTGCGTGCAGGTTGGAAGCGCGCAACTTTACAAGTTTTTAATCAAAAATTCGCTGAAGTGTTAAAAAATCTGAAATCGATAATAAAATAAATTTTAAATTCAAATTAAGGTTTCCACATGCACATATTCTATGGAAGATTACTTTGTTCAAATTTTGGTGGCTCTAGGTACCGTTATTTTATCACAATGAGAGAAACATACATACATTTATGCAGGTTCTTCAGTATTTAATTTCTTTAAATATAAGACAGGGCGGTAATATATGGTGGCAACGGTTTGAAAAGTGATACAGCCTTTTAAAGGTTTCGACCCAAAATGCCAAAACAAAATTAATAGTCCTTCAGGTCAAATTGCAATTTTGAACTTTAAAAAAAAAAAAAAAAAAAAAAAAAAAAACAGAAACATTATTCTCCGCATCTGTAAGCACTAAAATTTTGTCCGTTATGCCAGTAATTAGCAAATTTTCCATTTTAATATTAAAATCTATTGGAATTTATCTAAAATTAACACTTTTTCTATATTTTGGGATCTTACTTCAATTTTAAATCAGATAGCTATTTCTTGAAATTTTAGCATTTGGAATGTTCAAAAAACATACATATAGCCAAATTTCATCAAAAAGTTTTACGAAGGAGCTTTGTTATTAAAGGAATGAATGAAAAATATACGGAATTGTTAATAACATTTTCAGTTCTCCAAAATATAAAGGTGTTTTTAAAATCGATTTTCACATTTAAACAGTTTCTTTTATGTATCTATATGGAACAGCGCTCAGAAATCACTGCTTTGTTATTAAATTTGAAGTTGATGATTGAATTTGAGTGTTCTCTCTTATCTCAGTCATAAGTTGCCTTTCTGTATAAATAAAACACAGAATATTATGTTTTGAATAATATAGTCTGCTTTAGGTGAAATATTTTAATGTGATATTAACGTTTACTATATATTCCACGTTTACTATAAGTTAAAGAACTGGCATAATTTTTAAATATAATCAAGAAAAATCTAAACAAATATTAATTTCCATAAATGATTTATCTCTTTTATACTTTTGTATTATTATTAAACTATTATTGTTCATTTTCCTACGAAAAAAGCAATTATTTCAATAAAGCTAATTGTATCATATTTATTTCTCTACAAAATATCTCTGAGGTTTTATGAAAAATATATGTTACATTCTAAATCCTGTCACGATAGTTTTATTCATAAGTTCTTCCTCTCGTTTCTTTTACAATCTTTTTGCGAAACACCCGCTGAATTCCAATTGAAAACTGCTGGTTTAAGATGACTTCAAAAAAATTCCAGGTATAGCCTGAATAACACAAACATTATTTGAAATAAACAATTGAAGTGCATATGGGAAAAAATCCTCTGAATTTTGATTTCACCGTTTCGTTTCTTTACCTGAATACGTGGGATGAATAACCAGAAGAAGAGCTCCTATGATTTTATATTTCAGATGAAGTCTCCTCTGCATAATTCACTTGACCAATCAAATTTTCAGAACGCTGCTTCAACCATCATATACAGACGACCTAAAAAGGGAAAAGAAAATAAAATTAAGTTTAAAAATGCAGTCATGACTCAACGTATATCGTGTCTGAACTATTTCCTGTATGATATGCTTAGTTTTAAATTTTCCAGATTCAGTTCCAGATAATGCGAAATGAATGGATTTCAACCACCTCTTTTCTTACGTAAAATAACGAAAAATGAAAGGCATTTACGGAAATTAGTTGAATCGCATCTTAGGGAATAAGTTAAGGCAGTGATTCTAAAAAACGTGAGTCGCTACCTACTACTGGATTAAAACACAGTTTGCAGGTACGTTTAAACATTCGAAGTTTTCTTCCTTTTATTGTATAGGTATTTGTACTAAGTTATTCTTCATGTAAAGTCGGTTTGTAAATATCTTTGGATATTTAGTACCGTGTGGGAGAATGAATGCACAAGTAAGCTCTTTACACTCTTTACGCCAGAATCCAGAATCCGACACCACATACATTCATACATTTTCGTCTACTCTTCTCTGAGTAAAGTTAAAACATTTATAGAAATCGAGCGCCCCGTCGGCCATTAAATACGGACATTTATCCAGTTTTTAAGAGGATGAAGCATGAAATCTATGGATATTTATCTCTACGTGTGTGAAGTGTACAGGGACAACAATGTTAGCGAGAGCAAAGTGCGAAAATGTGTACGATTGCCAAAGAAGCTAGGAAAACAAACAGGAAGATTCATGATTTTGTCGCTCATTCGTAAGCACTTACAAGTTGCTGCATGTAGTTGAGACCCAAGTTCATACAAACAAATAATTTGAGTAAACAGCATGAAAAAAAGCAAACCACTAAAAGAGAAGTGAAAATAATCTTTAGTAATTGGCTATCAGTCCTGGTGAGAAAGCTCTGTGACAAGATAGACGAAACTTCAGTGTTCGCTACAATAAATATCTTAACTTGCAAAGATAATTAAGTAGAAATGAAAATGTATATGCAAATGGAGAAAAATATGGTTTTTGAAATGATTTCCACTTGTTTCTTTTTTACCCCCAAATAAGCCTTACTTAAAAATAACTTTCATATAGTACATATCCCTGTAATTACAAATTTATTTATAATTATTACTTTATTGTTAATACCTTTGTAAGTTATTTATTTATTTATTTATTTATTATATCATGCAATGTTTCTTTTTTTTTTTTTTTTTTCAAGGAATCTTCTTTTATTTCCTTCGTTTATTCATGTGTGCATGTCATTTGCAGTTAGTTACGTTTAAATCGCAATTATATATATATATGGGTCAAGAATCCTAAAAGTTTGGGAAAGAGTGACTCAGGTCGGAATAAATATTTAAAATGAGATATGCAGGGCTTTGAACATTGATGTTTTACAAGATTTTAGACTAACTCAAAGTGTATAGGAATATTTGAAGCTGCAACGAATACTCCTGGGGAATATGGAAGAAGAAAAAGTATCAGGAGTAGTGAAGATTAATTCGAAAAGGAATTATTGTATACAGATCAGCATGTTCCTGATTTCAATAAATTTTAGAACTTAATCACTTTAATTAAAATCAATATCATCAGCCAGAACATTCTTTACTTTTTTTTTTACATCTGGCACTTTCCTTTCTAGCATTGACCAGAAGAAGGCCGGAAGTGGCGACCATTTTATTCTGGAGGCACCTAATAGGCGGCCAACGTTACCTCCTATGAGGGGACAGACAATTTACATCCATGCCTTCTCGAGATTCGAACCTGGACCTTTCGGTATCGCAGTCGGCTCCCCTAAACACTATACCATCAGTAGAACAATGATAAGCCAAAAACAAAGTTAGCACAGTATGCACCATTAATTGTGATCATGTTTGTCTACGACTGTTTTGATAAAACTAATCAAATAATAATATTAAACAGTAAGAAAGCATTTACCTTTCGAAATGTCAGTGGTGTTATTTGATGTAAATGTAACAAGAAACATATAAAAACTTTTTTAGCATTTTTATTTGGAAAAACGTCTGCAGCAGTTTTCTGCTTGCTATTTTTAAGCATAAATTTATTTAAAAACTGTTAATAAATATTCTGAAAATTAATTGACCCATGATGCTTTGGCAAAAACCTTCCGATTTTTTTCCATTCCTTTCGTATTGAATAGTTCTCTAAATGTCTTCGATCTATAAAAAATCAATCTCTGTACACAAAATGGAAAGGTCATAAGCCTTATTCTCAGTAGCTAATTCTTCAGCTTCCTGCCGTATTAATGGTACAGTGATTTTTATATCTCTTTAACCAGCTTTTTGTAAACCAAATTTTCAATGTTTTTTCAATATTATCATCTTTTCTGCTATACATAACTTTTATGTTTATATTTCGCTGCAATTGTAACGATTTAAACGCTGCAACGGCGATGCTTTAACTCCCAAATGCTATATTCATAGTTCTTTAAATATTATGCATGAAGAGTTCAGAAATATTTAACTTTAGAGCAGCATTCCTTTGACTCATTTTTGGAAGTCAAAATCATCCCCTTTACTCCGATCATTATCATCGTCTAACAGTATCGCCTAGATTCAGATCATTATTATTTTTACTGATTTCCATGGCAAAATGATTGAATAAGTTTTTAATCTAAGATTTAAAACGCAGTAAAAACATTTTTGGCGTGAATAATGAAGATCCATGTACTATGTAATTACGTTAAACTGATTAGTCCAGTCGAGGTTCCTAACAATTGGAAAGTGGATTGCTTTGTATATGGCTGATTTAAATGAAGCTACTATTTGGCAAGATAATTTCTTACATTACAACATTTTCTCTGCCGATTTCTTTGCTCTGTTTGGACCTTATTTGGTAATTTTATCTTTTATTTTTTTTTTGGTCGAATTTAATTAAGTTTGAAAAAACATCTTTAGTATTTTGATCATATTAACCATTTTGTTGATTACAAGAAGCGATGCATTTTCCATATTTCTGTATACGAACAGACGAGAATTTGGCAATTCGATAAAAAATATCCGAAGATAGTATTAACCGAGATCAATTAAGGCGTGCTGGTGGTAAGTATTTCTTTTAAAACTAGTACTATTACATATTACAAATAATTACTCTGCAAAATTATGAATATATACGGAAGGTCGCTGCAGAAATGCACGATGTTTAAAAGTGTGCTTTCATAATTATTCAGTCTGAACCATTCTACTTCTGTATTTATGCCAATGACATTTCAAATTCGAGGTGAGAAAGCCTCATGATAGTAATATACGAAATGTTACTTTTAATACGCCCAAATTAAAAAAAAATGGTTTGTCTCTCTAAGCAATTTTATGAAAGTAATGAGCTTTTTAATACCGAAAATTATCTTGTGTTTACACTGAAATCCTAAATTGCTCCAAAATTATATTATTTCTAAGCAAGCAATAATTTGATAAAAAAATGTAGTGTTGCACAATGAATTAAAATAATATATATCCATATACGACTAATATTCGCTTTATAATAATAATAATATATTTATGAAAATATTTATATCTTCATTATTTCAAGCAAAAGACTTTGTATAATACATATAACGTATTTATTAATGCCTGCACAGCACCTGTTTCTTGTTTTAGGCTTTGAAGTGTAGTGGAAGACTAACAAACAGCTTAGTAAATGAATTTATAAACATGTTTCCATGTTTACTAGTGCTGAACATAATTTTCTCTAAAGAAAAAAGGAAAGCTTTTGCTTAATATAGTAAAAGTAACAAACTAAATATAACAAAACCTAGGAAAATCGTTATCTAGCTTGCAACATTCCATAATGAAGTATTACCATATACGAGTATAATTCGCCTGGGAATTGGAGAAAAATCTCATTAGTTTACCGAATATTTCACACATGAGCGAGTAGTCCAGAAGCAAATATCTCTAATAAAATTACACGGGAGATAAATGAATAGTTCTCAAACACAAGGAGATAAATATTTAATAAACCGATTAGACTAATCACAATTTCTGGAATGAAAAAAAAAAAAAAAAACGTTGGATGAGTGTTACAAACAATTTATTAAACAATACTTATTATATTATACAATAATTTTAGAAAAAACCGCTCACAGTGTCTAGAATTTATATCTGAGCTAAAATAAAATCACAAATCTTTGCAGCCGTGCTCTTCTATATGAAACGTTGTTTTAATAACGGTTTTGTTCTTTTCATGAGGGGTTAAAAAAAGGAAACGAGAGAAGTGGAAACGAGACAAATAATGACTTTTCTATAATTAGAACGCACATGTTATAAAAATAAGCTTTGGATGAGGTATTGTCTCACCTTTCCTCAGAGTATAGCATTTCTAGCATAAGTCAGTTAAACTGGAAATTCATTTTTTTTTTAATTTAAATAAAACTTCCTTTTTAAAAGCAATGTTCAGGCCATTACAAAATGCAGGAAATGCAAAACAAAACTTTTCAGAGCATCATAACATAAGCCGGTTTATGGAAATAAATATTAGCTAAATTTAAATAGATATCAGCAATACTTCATAATAATTTACAGTTATTAAATAATCATATTTAAATGCATTTATTTTATAATATTACTGACTGATGTAATAAACATTTAATTAAAAACGAGAATTTAGAGTTATTATTGCAAATTTAGCAGAAGCAGGAAATATTTAGAAAACCTGAAAAAAGTTTTATTCTTTTTAAATTTGCTATTATGTATTTATTTTAAATTAAATTAATTTCAGATGCTTGAAATAAAGGAAATAAAATATTTTTGTCTATCGGTATCTTCTACCACGTTATGTCATTCATGATAAGAGCACCAATTCTATTTATACCACCGCAGCACTTTTCTCTTTTCCAGAGAAATTAATTAATTAAAATTTATGTGAGAACGATTTCCTGTTTTGTCTTCGTAGACTCTGCTAAGGACAGAAAGCAAACTATTCTTTGGAGGATCCTAAAATATAATTTTCTATAATAACGTGAAAGAAATAAAAATATCGCACGCCTCTCGGAATAAGATATTCTATTTATTAAAAAAATACTAC